TGTGATATATTAGAATGGAAAAGATAATCAGGACAGAAAAGACTAATTTTTTATTTTTATTTTGAAGTATTTTATTTTGAAGTATAGTTGACAGTGTTATATATTAGTTTCAGGTGTACAACATAGTGATTTAACAATTCTATACATTACTCAGTGCTCACTATAAATAGTCACCATCTGTCACCATACAACGTTGTTATGTTGTTATTGACTATATTGCACTTTTCATCTCCGTGACTTATTTTATAACTGGAAGTTTGTATCTCTTAATTATCTTCACCTATTTCGTTCATCAGCCCACCCCTCTTCCCTCTGGCCACCACCAGTTCTCTGTTTATGAGTCTGTTTCTGTTTTGTTGTTTTGGAAAACACTGATTTTTATGAAAGATTTATATACACTTTTATAAGAAATCCAGAGGGTTAAAACAGACAAAAAATTGAGCTCATTTGTTTATCAGCAAGGGAGATGAAGATGGGTTAATGGAATTGAAGCTCTTGAAGAGTGTTAGGTTGCTTTTTCCGCCTAACAGTTTCCTGGCCAGGATTGATACTTTAAGAAAAAGATAAATAAAATTTAAGCTTAATTTGTTTTGTTTAGTAGCCAAAATAGATGCATTCTTGGCTTAAACATTTTTTGACTGGTTAGTGAAACCATTCATAAAGACCTGGAGTGTCTTTTACCCTTTCTTAATGAATATGAAATATTGAGATACAGCCTTTTCCATAAATCAGTGCATCTTGAAATACTTGGCAAACCCCCCCCCATGTTATCAGAATTAAAATATATCACTGCCCAGACTGCTTTTAGAATCTCTCAACCAACATTCCCATTTCAGTTGCTTCTTGTTCCTGTTTTATTTTGAATTACCAAAGAAACTTATTTATAGACTTAGTATGTTTAATGGCTGTGATTCTACCAAGAACAGTATTTAAAGAGATTAATTTTAACTTAACGGGATCTTTAAAAATTGTTTTAAAAATAAGTATTGGGGTGCCTGGGTAGCTTAGTAGGTTAAGTGTCTGACTCTTGATCACAGGGTTGTGAGTTCAAGCCCCAGCATGGAGCCTACTTAAAAAAAAAAGAAAAAGGAAGTATCAATAATAAATAAATAAATAAATAAAAATAAGTATTACCAAAATAAATTTCCCATAATATCTTCAGTTAGAAAAAAAAAAGCAATTTAGTCTCCCCAACTACATTGTGAACTTGATGGCAAGTACCGCCAAGGCTTCTCTTGTCTTTTAACTAGTTTAATTTTCATAATACTCTCATTTTAGAGATGGGAAAACTCAGGCAGAAAGTTAAGAAAGCCAATTTCATGTGTCTAGTAAGTGTTCAAGCTGAGATTTGAACCTAAGCAGTCAAGCTCTGTATGGAGTCTGGGCTTGCTGGGTGTCTAACAAGAACTTAGTAGGAACTGTATTTTTTTTTTTTTTTTTTAAGATTTTATTTATTTATTTGACAGAGAGCGAGAGCAGGAACACAAGCAGGGGGAGTGGGAGAGCGAGAAGCAGGCTTCCTGCTAAGCAGGGAGCCCAATGTGGGACTCGATCCCAGGACCCTGGGATCATGACCTGAGCCGAAGGCAGACGCTTAACGACTGAGCCACCCAGGCGCCCTGTATTTTTTACTTTTTTTAAATAGGGAATTTGATTGCTATGATGCCAGATGACCTAGAGTAGGTGTGTGTTTTTATTTATTTATTTATTTATTTATTTATTTATTTATTTATTTATTTATTTATTTATTTAAAGATTTTATTTATTTGACAGAGAGAAACACAGTGAGAGAGGGAGCACAAGCAGGGGGAAGTGGAGGGAGAAGCAGGCTCCCCGCTAAGCAGGGAGCCCAATGCGGGGCTCAGTCCCAGGACCCTGGGACCATGACCTGAGCTGAAGGCAGACGCTTAATGACTGAGCCACCCAGGTGCCCCAGGTGTGTGTTTTTAAATGAGCTGTAACTCCTGAATTGGCAGAGTGATCAGAGATTGGACTTTACATGGGGAGGTTTTAGTGAATTCAAGACAAGTAGGAGATACTGTTCTCACCACTTAAGAACTTTTTCTTTGGTGTTCAAGAAACAATTTATTCTGTTACTGTGGAGCTTGAAGTTGAATTAGGGAGCTTCTTAAGTATAGTACAAGGTAGAAAGTGGTTAATGTCATCAGAGACACAGATGCAGCATCAGAGCGAGGTGACCTCAGAGAGCATCTCATCCCTGCTTCTCAGAGTGTGTCTAGGAGCCAGCTGCTTCACCTGCACCCGCTCTAGACCTACAGAATCAGTCTGCATTTTAACCAGATCCCCAGGTGATTTGTATTCCATTAAAACTTAAGCACCAATCTGGTCCATGTCTATCATTTTACAGAGCTTGAAGAATGAAGTAATTTAACTAGTTAGTGGGAAAGCCAAAACTTGAGTCCAGAGCCCTGGGTTCATGGTAGGGATGGATCTGCACTTTGCCATGCACAGTTAGGAGGTACTTTGGAATTTCAGAGCAGGTTTGTCTCTTATGTATGGCTTTTCTTGCAATGCTCAGAAAAGTTAAGCCACCTGCAGATTCACCCCTTTCTTTTTTTCTTTTACCACCTAGACTTAGAGCCTTGTTGATAGAGTGCCAGTTGCTTTATATTAGCAGAACACATTACTTAGAGAAACTGTGTTGATCATAACTTAGCTTTCTTCGTGTATAGTCTCTTCCCAAAAGATCTGTATCATTTCTGGGTACTATAAAATACGCCTGTGTTCAGAACATATAGTCATTTCTTTTACCCATTATTATTTTCAGGAATAAATTGAGGCTTAGAGAGAAAGTTTAGTTATTATTTGAAGAATAAAAGCCTCTGAAACAGTTGAAATGGATGATCTTGCTTTTAAGAGTGTTGCTGTGTCTTCCTTCCAAAAATAGAAGGGAAAATGTAAACAGGCATTGCCAGGAGGGCTGTTTTCTACTTTTGTCTTCACCTCTGTTTTAAATTGAGCATGATTTGCAAACATGCCCAGAATATTTCTAATCTCAGTTGCAAAACTGATTCTCTGAAGTATTTTTGTGAGGCATCTGTGGCACAGTTTTTGAAAAACATTCAAGTTAAGCCACTTTACACCTGACGGTACAGATTTGCTTTTTGCCTTCTTAAAACATTGAGGTAAAGGGATGCCTGGCTGGCTCAGTTGTAAGAGCATGTGACTCTTGATCTCGGGGTCCTGAGTTCAAGCCCCATATTTGGTATAGAGATTACTGAAAAAGTAAATAAACTTAAAATTTTTCTAAATTGTGGTAAAGTACACACAGCATAAAATATACTCTATCATTTTTAAGTACACGGTATAGCAGCAAGTATATTCACTTACCGTGCAGCAGGTCTCCAGAACCTTTCACCTCGCAAAACTGAAACTCTACACCTTCAACAACAGCTCCTCACTTTTCTCTCACCACCCCCTGGCAACCACTATTTCACTTTCTGTTTTGATGAGTTTGACTACATTAGGTACCCACATAAGTGGGATCATACGTATTTGTCTTTTGGTAAGTGGCTTATTTTCTATTTTATTATTAGGATAATGTTCTCGGAGTTCATCCATGTTGTAGCATGTGTTGGAATTTCCTTCCTTTGCAAGGCTGACTACGAATTCCCTTGTGTGTGTGTGTATATATTTATATACCGTATTTTGTTCCTCCGTTGATCTGTTGATCCCATGTTCTGACTGCTGTGACTAATGCTGCTGCGGACCTGAGTGTACAGTGCTTTTCCCTTCTTTCTTAAGCTTTGCTAAATCATCTGTGAGTTTGTGAGGAAAACTACACTAGTTAGAAGAATTGAGTTGATCATTTCTTTCTTCTTTGCTGCTAATTGTATAACCTTAGGTGAGATATGTGGCCCCTAGGAGTCTGCTGGACGTCCTTATGTCAGAAAGGGAAATACATAAAGTTGTAGGAATTCATAAAGTGTAGCACAGATGTGAAGAGGCCAGTGACTACTTATTAATCGATTTTCCTTTACATTCGGGGGCACTTTAGTCATTTGCTTTTGGAAGTTCTGAGTTTGTTGTTTTGTGGTCAGTGGTACCTGAAAAAGAAATCACTGTAATATTAAATATTTGTATAGTCAGGGGTGCCTGGGTGGCTCAGTCATTAAGCATCTGCCTTCGGCTCAGGTCATGATCCCAGGGTCCTGGGATCGAGCCCTGCGTCAGGCTCCCTGCTCGGCGGGAAGCCTGCTTCTCCCTTTCCCACTCCCCCTGCTTGTGTTCCCTCTCCTGCTGTGTCTCTGTCAAATAAAAAAATAAAATCTTAAAAAAATTTTTTGTATAGTTAATTCTTCAACTGTACAGTGCAAATTTTTATCTTAAAAACAAATAGTAACTGTAATGTTGGAAGGGAAGAATGAGTTGATATAAGAGAAGCTTGACTTCTCTGGAAATTTCCTGATTTTAGTTGTTGAACGATACAAACTAGTGAAAGGATTCACAAGATGACTTTTGTTTTGAAAGGTTGTTAAAAATCAAGTAACTACACATTTTAGGTAGCAATCTGTGATTGTAACTCTTGGTTAATCTCTGAAGAGTGGAAGAATATGAGTCACTGAAGTAGTTAAGTGCCTGGTGTGAAACGTAATGGTTTATTGGTAGAGTTGAGAGAAGTTGCCAATCCTTTCAGATGCTACAGCTCAAGGAGCTATCCATTAGATTTCTTACGGATATAGCTGTAATGGTTTGATGTGTGGCAAAAAAGGGCATCATTTATCTTGTCCAAAAAAAAAATTTTTTTTTTTAAGAGATTTTGACAGAGAGAGAGAGAGCACAAGTAGGCAGAGAGGCAGGCAGAGGGAGAAGCAGGCTCTCCACTGAGCAGGGAGCCCGACGTGGGGCTCGATCCCATCATGACCTGAGCCGAAGGCAGACGCTTAACCGACTGAGCCACCCATACGCCCCTAAAAAATTTTTTTTAAGTCCTATCTTTTTATATAATTCAGAGGAATTTGGGAATGTTTGTCTTCTAGGCTCATCAACAGAGCAGACGAGCAGATCGTTTATTAGCTGCAGGGAAATACGAAGAGGCTATTTCTTGTCACAAAAAGGCCTCAGGTGAGTATTCTTCTAAAGAAATACTGAGTCTAAAACTGGAGGGCAATTTCTTTTCTCCAGCCATCTCTCAACAAGTTATTCAGAATGAAAGTCCCAGTAGTAATGATAGGGTGTTGCCCTGCATGTACAAGGTTGACACTACTGACCCACCAGGACATCAGTTTGGATTACTTTTCAAGTGAGTATGTTGGATTTCCTAGTTCCTCCTAACCTAGTCTTCCTAAACCATGAAGGTTGCATATGCCATATTGGTAAATGACTCTGGACACAGCTTTCTGAATCCAAAGATTCCTAAAGGTAGAAGTGATTGCAAGAAGTCTACCACTTTATCTTATTTGTTATGGAAAATGAATTTTAAATAGCCGTTTTGGGTTATGAAAGTAATAACTAAATTTTAACCGATTAGTTTTCACTGAATTTGTTTTCTAAGATGCTGGTAATACTCTTTGTTTAGCTTCTTTCTGAATATTTCATCTGTACATTTGTGCCTATGGTATCATGCTGATGATCGCTTTCTTTTAGGTATGAAATTTAGAATTAATGACTTCTTATCAAACAGTTATTTTATCCCAGTCAGTTGCAGTTTAGCATATGTTGAACTCAGAAATAGATATTTGGGGTCTGTTATGTAAAGACTGGTTTCTGTTGGCTGATTAACAAACCTAAAAACCTCGGGGAGGGAGTGATTTACTCATGCTGCATTCAAAATAGGCCACCTTTCTTAGAGCGAGGAAGACACTTCTTTTCTAGGCCACTGTGATGATTAAAACCATGTTGTTTCTTGGCAGAGTGTACCCTCCAGTGTTGCCTTAGGGCTGGACTACAGACCACACGGTTGGATACTGGTTTGACTAAGTTCTTTTATGTCAGTGATTTTTGCCTACACGCCCGTGATTTTCAGAGAAAATTTCAAGTCTTATTTTTAAAAGAATTAGTTTTGCCACTGAAGTGTACCCCTTCAGCAGTAAGGCTGAGGGCCTAATATGTACCCTGTAAGTCTTTGTGAATTTTTATGGTGAGTTTCATGGAGAGCTTTATACAAAATTAAACTTGGCAGCTAGTGCTCTTTAAATCTTTCATAAACTGTATTTTGTTGTGAATCAAATTGTTAATTTTATAGTCACCTTACAGAAAAGACAATGTACTACACTATTAAAAAAAAAAACAAACAGTGTTGTGTAGGGTGACTGGGTGGCTCAGGCGGTTACGGGTCTGCCTTTGGCTCAGGTCATGATCCCAGGGTCCTGGGATCGAACCCCTGCTCAGTGGGGAGCTTGTTTCTCCCTCTACCTGCCACTCCTGCTTGTACTCTCTCTCTCTCTCTGTCAAATAAAGAAAATATTTTTAAAAAATGCTGTGGATGAATGCCACTGAAATAATACCGCAGTGGTTGTGGTTACATGTATATAAAATAAAATACAATGGAGTGACCAGCATATGTTGTGCATTGAGCAGTAGGAGATTCTGAGTATATAAAAGGGAGAAAGGTCTCCTTCATTCCTAACCTATATCCCTGTCTTTTTTTTTTTTTTAAGATTTTATTTATTTATTTGAGAGAGCACAAGAGGGAGGAGGGTCAGAGGGAGAAGCAGACTCCCTGCTGAGCAGGGAGCCCGATGCGGGGCTCGATCCAGGGACTGCAGGATCATGACCTGAGTCGAAGGCAGACTCTTAACCGACTGAGCCACCCAGACACCCTCTACATCCCTGTCTTTATTTGAGGAGTTAAGATTGATGTTGGGCTTTACACGCCCCTTCCTACTTTGTCAGTATCTGCATTCTGCCACATTCTCAGGAGTAGAAAAGATAAAGGCAGCCTTTTGGATCCCATTAGCTCTAATTAGGGAGAGAATTTAAGTGTGATTAGTTAATCCCACTGAGCTGATTTGATTTGGAGTTCAGACTTGGTTAAAAATAGCCTTGTGGGGCGCCTGAGTGGCTCAGTCATTAAGCTTCTCCCTTCGGCTTAGGTCATGATTCCTGGGATCGAGCCCTGCATTGGGCTCCGCATCGGGCTCCCTGCTCAGCGGGAAGCCTGCTTCTCCCTCTCCCACTCCCTCTGCTTGTGTTTCCTCTCTCGCTCTGTCAAATACATAAATAAAATCTTTTTTTTTTTTTTTAAAGATTTTTATTTATTTATTTGACAGAGACATAGCGAGAGCAGGAACACAAGCAGGGGGAGTGGGAGAGGGAGAAGCAGGCTTCCTGCCGAGCAGGGAGCCCGATGTGGGACTCGATCCTAGGACCCTGGGATCATGACCTGAGCCGAAGGCAGACGCTTAACGACTGAGCCACCCAGGCGCCCTACATAAATAAAATCTTTTAAAAAAAAAAATAGCCTTGTGTTTCAGAGTGGAGTTGAAAATTGACGTGGTTAGGGGTGCCTGGGTGGCTCAGTCGTTAGAATTCTTACTTGTAGTCTTACACAGTCCACTTCCCTAAGTGGGTTTCATTTTTTTCACAAATAGCAAAAAGAGCAAATTTATGTTATTTATAAGTACATATTTTTAAGATTTTGTTTTTAAGTGATCTACACCGAACGTGGGGCTGAGCTTAAAATCCTGAGATCGAGTCACACACTACTGACTAAGCCAGCTAAGTGCCCCTTAAGACCCAAATTTTATTTATTTATTTATTTATATTTTTTAAAGAGTTTATTTATTTTTGACAGAGAGAGAGTGTACAAGCAGGAGAAGCAGCAGGCAGAGGGAGAGGGAGAAGCAGACTCTCTGCTGAGCAGGGAGCCCGATGCGGGGCTCGATACCAGGACCCTGGCATCATGACCCGAGCCGAAGGCAGTCTGTATGCAGCTATTCAGACTTACTATAGGAATAAAGGGCAAAAGTTGAGAAAAAAATATAAGTATGGCTAGAGCAAAGGCTATAGAACCAACTGTTTTCTGTTGGGGAGAGACCATCCAGTTAATCTGTATCTTAAAGACTATGATAGAAACTGGCAGACAACAAAACCATTTAAAATATTTGAATTAAGAGGACAGAAACATTGCCTTGTAGTATCTGCAAAAAGGCAAAAAGGAACTTAATGTAGGGATGAGAGACACTGAAAAGTTTATAGTAAGCAAGAAATAAAAAATGGAGACTGCGTGATTATTTTATTACTTGTCATTTATACCGTTTTGTTCCACAGTATATAAAAGGCCTTAGAGAGGAATATAGCAAAATATAAAATGTAATTAGAAATAAGCAGATGAGGGCGCCTGGGTGGCTCAGTTGGTTAAGCGACTGCCTTCGGCTCAGGTCATGATCCTGGAGTCCCTGGATCGAGTCCCGCATCGGGCTCCCTACTCGGCAGGAAGTCTGCTTCTCCCTCTGACCCTCCCCCCTCTCATGTGCTCTCTCATTCTCTCTCTCTCAAATAAATAAATAAAATCTTTAAAAAAAAAAAGAAAGAAAAGAAATAAGCAGATGAGGAAGCCACAGAAAGATAAAATGAGGGGTACCTGGAAGCATAGTTCACAAAATGCACCATGAGTTCTTGCTTATTTGATAGAAGGAGAACTTGGCTTTGAGCTTTCTAGAAGGTAGCTCAGAGAGGAAAATTAGGGATTTTTACAGTGACTTTTTAAATCCAAGTAAATTAAGTCACCCAGGAACTGATCCTAAGGTCAGAGAGAAGTTTATTGAATTACTATTTATGGTCTTCATAAAGGACATTATTCTATCCTCAGCAACTTGCTTACAATAAATAAGTCAGCAGGTTCTTATGGCTCTTAACTACCTGATTCATGGTAGGTTGATGGGATAGCTCAGAAATAATTCAATAAAAGTAGTTCTATAGGAGGCCAAAATGATATAGTCCAGGTATTCATGTGGGTAAAAAGACACTAATAATCAGTCTCTGATTTTGATTTGTGATCAAAATGAGTAGTAGGGTTTTGATAGGTTCCTGTTTAATTTTAATCCTTCCTGATCCTATATTTCTAATTAGGCCATCTTTACTTTCTTAATTATGAAACCTACAAGGATTTTGAAGAAAAACCCCTTCAAAATGGGGTAGAGAATATCTCCAGTTGATTACCACTGACTTCTTTCTTGGAGAAGTTAAGAATCCTGTCTTAAAATCCCCACCTTGTTTCTGTTCAGGAACAGGATAACTATGTAGCAGAATTGCTTCTAAAACCAGTTCTTTTTGTCCTAGGAGTACTAAAACTCTTCCTTTGACCTGTTGATTACAAGATTATGACACTCATATTAATGTGCCTTTTTTTTTTTTAACCAGCATATCTTTCTGAAGCCATGAAGCTCACACAGTCTGAGCAGGTGAGACAATTTCTTAGTATTTGTGATAAGGATTAGAAGGATTTTCTTGTGGAGACTTGAACTGTGTGTAAAATAAAGTATTGCGCCCCTCTCAAAACACCGTAGTCCAAAATACATAAGTTGGATAAGAGAAGAGTACTTCAGAAATTAAAACTCAGTGAACTGCTGTCAGTGTCCCAGACATGGCATGCAGAAACTTCTTTTTTTTCTTAGTTACTCCTAGATCTCAGATCACCAGATGTGTTCCTTAGAGACTTCTAGGGCCTCTCCTGAGCATTAGCTCACAGAGAGTAAGCAGGTCTGGCCAAGGGGAAACCAGTTGGCCTTCCCTTTGCATGCCAAAAATAATTTAAATCTGAATTTGTCTTTTCCTGAATTCCTAAGCAGTTCTGGTACCTTTAAATTTTGTTTCACCAACGGTTTTAAATTTCTTCTGTGTTTGGGGAGGGCCTTTATCTTTGGATAAAGGTTTTGAAAATACCTTTATCCAAAGATGATTTTCTAATTATAAAAGTGGCAGGGTACATAGGAGATACTCAGTAGTGTTTGTCTAATTGAATTAAGGAGATCCTTAGGGGATATCAGCGGGCAGGGAAGAAATACCACTTCCTCAAACTGAACCAAGAGAACCTGAAAGTTATGTTCTATTCCGTGCTCTTCCCTTGGTATAGAACTGCTCATGTTAGCCATGTAATACAAACATGCACTGAGCCTCCTTAACTCTTGTTAATAAAAAGGGATTTTAGCTGGGGCACCTGGGTGGCTCAGTTGGTTAAGTGTCTGACTTTTTTTTTTTTTTTTAAGATTTTATTTATTTGTCAGAGCACAAGCAGGGGCAGCGGCAGGCAGAGGGAGAAGCAGGCTCCCTGTTGAGCAAGGAGCCTGACATAGGACTCGATCCCAGGACCCCGGAATCATGACCTGAGCCAAAGGCAGATGCTTAACCGACTGAGCCACCCAGGCATCCCTAAGCATCTGACTCTTGATTTCAGCTCAGATCATGATCTTAGGGTCCTGGGATCGAGCCCTACCCTGGGCTCTGCACTCAGCCTGGAGTCTGCTTAGGGATTCTCTCTCTCCTTCTCCCCCCATCTCTCTCTCTAATAAATAAATCTTTAAAAAAAGATCTTAACTAGTTGTAGAATGAATATCTAAAGAGGAAAGTTTTCTAATTTTAAGCTTAGTACAAATGGCATTTCACAGGGGTAGGGTTGTTCAAAAAAGTTCTCAATATGTTGATTTGGAAAGGACTTCTGACTTTCTGAATGAATGGGGTTTTGTTTATGAATAAAAAAGTTAGCTTATCTAAGATAGAAAGGTCCAGTTATTTTGTTTTTGCTTTTTTGTTTAAAAAATTTTAAAACATCATATCAGAATAGAATTCTGATTGAATCACATTGTCATTATTATTATTATTTTTTAGACCACTGTTTTTCTCACTTAGAATTTTTTTTAAAGCACCCAGTATGGTTAACAGAATGCCATAGCATTTTAAACAAAATATTAAAGCTTTTTTCCCCCCACACACTTTACTGTGGATATGTTACTTTTACAAGTAGAAAATTGTTAACAGAAAGTTTCCACAAATACTCCTTGACAACACGTTGAGCATAGAATATGTGGAAAATACAGTTGAGTCTTGAACAACTTGAGGCTTACAAGTGCCAGCCTCCTAAATAGTCGAAAGTCTGCCTAAACTTCCCCCCCATCCAAAACTTAATTACTGATATTCTGTTGACCAGAAGCCTTAACAATAACATTAACAGTTGATTACACATACTGTGTATGTTGCATGACTATATACTGTATTCTTATACAGCCATAAGCTAGAAAAAAGAAAATAATAAAATCACAAGAAAGAGAAAATACGGTTAGCGTACTGTCCTGTATTTGTTGACTCTATATAGGTTAAAGTTTCTGTTGCCTGTTTACAGGATGAATTGTCTGTTAGTACCGACATCAGTACTGTAGATGTTAAATGTATTACTGACATGAGACATCAGAAATAAAAATGTGACAAGAACTCATTTATTTGCAGGTATAACAAACAATGCATGCACTGATAACGAAGAAGCAGCAATATGGTTGCTTTATGGTAGACTAGCCTAAACACTAATGTATGACTCATTCATTATAGAATGTTTATGGTGTATAGTGTTACAGTCATATTCATAATACAGTGTTGGAAATATTGTTACATCTTTAAAAACCCACTTACCTGTGATGATAGGCTAATATGTGGTTTCTCCCGTTTACGGGAGAGGCGTACCAAATGGTCATGTAATTCTTTGAAAGCAAGGTCATAAAACAGTAAGAAAACTTCATCATGATGCCCATGTAAAGGTGGACTGCTTCCACACAAGCCTTGCACACGGTGTCAGACACAGTAAATGAATACTTCAGCAATGTTGAGGACACACAAACATTTCATACGGTTCTTGCAGCATAGTTACTAGATTTTCACATGAAGCTGCTCACACACAGGTAAGTTCATTAACTATATGGCATGATGATGATTTACTCTTCATTAAGTGGAAGGAGATCATAAGGTTTTTGTGTTATCATAAAAGTTTTTGTTTTTTTTTTCTTTTTAAATAGGCATTTGTTCACAAATCAGGTTGACTGGGCTCAGCTGGGCAGTTGTCAGTTGAGGGGGTGGGGAGCTCTCATGCAGTCAGATGGTGGCAGCTGATGATGTCATCTCCCAGGTGGCTTCTCCCGTCTGGTGCTGGGCTGGGGAGACTTAGTACGGCCTGAGACAGCTAGGGCTCCTCAGGTAGCACAGCATCGTTCTCCTCCTCCTCCTCTTTCTGGTCTTTGTAACCTGGCCACGTGGCAGTTGAAGTTTCCCAGCACCATCCCTTCTGCATTGTTCCTTGAATTGACCACAAAGGCTCACCCAGGTTTGAGGGGAGGGTATTAGACTCCGTCTCTTGATAGGACTGTTCAAAAGTTTATAGACATGTGTTAAAACTACCACAGTGGGGCTCTCCTGCCCTGGTTGGTCCACACCCCAGCTTTGCCTTTTGGCTCTGTGACCTTGGGCATGTTCCTGAGTCTCTCTCTTCCTCAACTGCCATTCATTCATTCGTTTATTTTTTTTTTCGTTTGTTTATTTTTAAGTTTAGTTGATAATTCAGTGTTACATGAGTTTTAGGTGCACAGCATAGTGATTTGACAGTTCTGTGTATTAGGCAGTGGTGACCATAAGTATAGTTCCAATCTCTCACCATACAATGTTACTCCAGTATTAATGACTGGATTCCCTGTGGTGTACTTCTCATCTTCATGACTTACTTATTTTTTTTTTTTAAAGATTTTTATTTATTTATTTGAGACAGAATGAGATAGAGAGAGCATGAGAGGGAGGAGGGTCAGAGGGAGAAGCAGACTCCCTGCCGAGCAGGGAGCCCGATGCGGGACTCGATCCCGGGACTCCAGGATCATGACCTGAGCCGAAGGCAGTCGCTTAACCAACTGAGCCACCCAGGCGCCCTATGACTTACTTATTTTATAATGGAAGTTTGAACCTCTTAATCCCCTTCACCTATTTTGTCCATCAACCCATCCCCCTCCCCTGTGGCCACCACCAGTTCTCTGTATTTGAGTCTGTTTCTGTTTGTTCAGTTGCTTTTTAGATTCCGCATACAAGTAAAATCATATGGTATTTATCTTATCCCTGTTTTATTTGCTTAGTGTGAGACCCTCTAGGTCCATCCATGCTGTCACAGGTGGTAAGATCGCATTCTTTTTAATGGCTGGATAATACTCCGTTTATATACACCACATCTTTTTTTATCCATTCATCTATCCATAGATACTTAGGTTGTTTCCATATCTGGGCTATTGTAAATAATGCTTCAGTGAACGTAGGGTGTGCGGAGATCTTTTCGAATTAGTGTTTTTGTTTTGTTTGGGTTAATACCTGGTAGTGGAATTACTGGGTTCTATGGTGGTTCTATTTTTAAATTTTTAAGGAACCACCATAGTGGCTGCACCAGTTTGCATTCCCGCCAGCTGTGGGTTCTTTTTTCTCCACATCCTCACCAACACCTGCTGTGTCTTGTGTTGTTGATTTTAGCCATTTTGACAGGTGTGAGGTGATACTTTATTATTGTGGTTTTCATTTGCATTTCCCTGATTGGTAGTGATGTTGAGCATCTTTTCATGGGTCTGTTGGCCATGTGGATGTCTTTTTTGGAGGAATGTCCATTCGTGTCTTCTGCCCATTTTTTGGATTTTTTTTTCATAAAGTTTTATGAATGCTTTATATATTTGGATATTAACCCCTTATTGGATTCATCATTTGTGAATACCTTCTCCCATATTGTAAGTTGTTGCCTCTTCATTTTGTTGATGGTTTCCTCCTTATGCAAAAGCTTTATATTTTGATATAGTCCCATTTATTTTTGCTTTTGTTGTCCTTGCTTGAAGAGGCAGATCCAAAAAATAATCACTGAGACCAGTGTTAAAGAACTTACTGCTTATGTTTTTTCCCAGGAATTTTAGGTTTCAGGTCTCATGTTTAGGTCTTTAATTCATGTTGAGTTTATTTTTGTGGGTGGCGTAAGAAAGTGGTCCAATTTCATTCTTTAGCATGTAGTGGGCCAGTTTTATTAAAGAGACTATCTTTTCCCCATTGTATATTCCTGCCTCCTTTGTCATAGATAAGCTATATGTGCATTTATTTTTGTGATCTCTGTTCTGTTCTGTTTGATGTATATGTCTGTTTTTGTGCCATACCATACCGTTTTGATTACATAGCTTTGCAGTATAGCTTGAAATTTGGAGTATAGTACCTCCAGCTTTGTTCTTTTTTTTTTTTTTTTTTAAGGTTTTATTTTGTGAGAGAGGCAGAGAGGGAGCGAGCATGAGTGGGAGAGGGGCAGAGAGAAAGGGAGAAGCAGACTCCTTGCTGAGCAGGGATGCCCCCCCCCCCAACTTGGGGCTTGATCCCAGGACCCTGAGATTATGACCTGAGCATGACCAGGCAGATGTTT